AAGTCATAGACACTGTGCTAGAGAATTGAAGGATTTAGCCCAGCTCCTATATCAGTAAAGCTCCACCGTATGCTTTAATAATCACAGCCATAGCAAAAAAACGCAGCGAAAGGTGGATGAATGCTGAAGGATGGGTTTCGGTTGATGAGAGACAGAGAGGAGAGGCGAAGTCGAGACTATGGAGGTTTGATTCTCCCCCCGGCGCCGTCGGCCTCTTGTGCTCCTCTCGCCTTCGCGTCTCTCTCTTTTTTTCTTTCAGCGCCGTCCAGTTCGTGCCCGCCACTCCCCTGGAGATGATGAAGAATATTGGTATATTATTATTATATATTTTTTTTAAATTTATTTTTTTCTCTTTTTTTATTTTTATTTTTATTTTTAAATCTTCTAAAAACCTACAAACAAAATTTAAGGATAGGATCGCATTAATTGTCCTCAAAAATCAATTAGTCACAATTAAACCAAAATATGATAGTTTTGCTCCTATAAAATAATAATTCAAAATAAAACATTAAATCAATTAACAATCAACTAAGACCAAAAAGACTAATTAAGTTGACAAAACCCATATAAAAGATATCAAAATATATAAAAATAATTGAGTTTGTCAGCACTATTTTCATGACAAGTGCACAGGTCCTGACAAGTAATCAAGTGATGAGTAAAGTATCATTTCTACAAGGATTTGGTTTCAAAATCCGGTCAAGTATTCATTATCATACTTTCATTTAATTTGAGTAATACAAATATCAAAAGTAAAAGCAAATATTTATAAAATTACAAATTAATAAAAAGAAAAAGTGATTCTTCAATTCCAAAAATTCAAATGGACCTAGGATTATTTTTCCCTTTATATTTCAAAAGTATTCAATTAAATCCCCATTATATTTGCTTCTTAATATATATATATGTGTGTGTGTGCGCGCGCGCTAGCCAATGATATTAAATTACCTATAAGTACTCTCTCAAGTCTCCAAATAGATGTTTAGCTCAATTAGTTTTTTAATCTCTTAATTAATTAATTAAGCCCCAAATTTTTATTGCAAACCTAACATGACTATGTGAGGTTAATGAGTATATCTCTATCTCATTAACAAAACCATCCATCCAACTCGTAAGCTTCAAGTTCTCACATAATTTTATCTAAGTTCTACACTCAATTTAGCTCTTTCAAGTATCAATCAAATGAACACAACAATCTCATTGGTGGCCAATCAACAAGAAGCATTAAGCATAGAGTAAAATCAACACAATCATATCATCAATCACAAATATAAAGAGGAAATGAGTACTTAATCCATACAAAAGTTCAAAATAATCCTAAAATTAAAATATTTAACCACACATACTCAAAAAAATTCATAAGAATATATATACATCAGCATAAAATGGAATAAGAATAGAAAAAGCAAGATAGAGAGGAAAAACCAAGGAAAGAAGCCCAAATCTCTTCAAAGCTCCAACTCCTAGCTAAATCTCCTCCAGGAAGCAAGCCTTAGCACAACACAATACTTCCAAGAACCACCCAGAATTGGGGAATGGCAGCCGAGGTTGAGTTTGGAGCTTTAAAACCTAGAATTTTCTAACTTAGTATTGTTGTACATTTTGTTGTCAGTAACTGCACTGTTGCCCAAAAAATTTGTGCTGCAACCAAGTTTGTCTCTGATTGAGTTGGGCCGCAGCCAAAACAGAATGTGCTGCAACTCATTTTGCCTTTAAAAAATTTTGTTTTTCTAGCTTGAATGAGGAGTCTTACCCATAATTTGGAGTCTATTTGTTCTTCCTTGATCAGTGTGGTGTGACTCTAAAGCAACTTTAATCCTCAAATACTTCCAAAAGCTTCCCAAGTGGCTTGACATAATTACTCTTAATGTCAAAATATGCCTTGTAAAAGTGACAAACTTTATAAACTCAAAAATAACAAGGATAAAAGCCAAAAGATGAACAAATACATCTAAGAGTGCATAAAATTAAAGGAAAAAGTGCTAAAATAACATGAAATTCTAATGATTAACACCCACATATCATAAGTCTAATTTTATTTGGCGTATACATTGTTACTAATATTATTTTAACTCAACTCGATCATTTTAATGTGTAAAATCATACTCATAGATTGACATCTTACATCATAAAAAGCCTTATATAAGTTCTATTTTATACACCACTTGATCAAATAATGGGTGTTTGATTTCCAGCATTTGTAAATAAAGCCAACTCATAGTATTTATCAAAATTAAACCAAGACCATGCTTCTCTGATTAAAAAAATTAATTTTATGGCAAAATTACGGCAGTCCTTTCCATGGTTAACTATCAGTATGTGTACCGCATCCCTAGAGTTATTTGCTTGACTAAAATTTGATTTAAAGGTGGGTTAATATAATTTTTTATCCTTTGAATTTTGACCCATTTTGATATTGGTTTCTGAAATTTCAGACTTGTGGTTTTGGTTTTTAGAATTTAATTCGTCAACAAACGTTATCCCTGATTAAAAAAAGGCTGTTAAGTTTTGCTGACATGGCACAGACCGTGTTAGCTTGAATGACATGGCTTGTGACTTGTTAACATGACCTAATTATGGGGCATGGTGAGCTGACCTGGACATATAGTTAAACGAACAAAAAAAAAAAAAAAGGGGGAGCTTCTTCACGTTATGGCCATCGTGATCGCCGGTATGGGCTTCTTAACGAATGGGTAGTTCTCATGGATGGAGCCATCCCTACTGTGCTGGTATTCTATCTGTGAATGATGAAGATGCTGAAGACAGGTCGTTAAACTGCTCACATGGAGAGAAACGCAAAGCAAGCAGTTGTAGATATGGCCAGAGCTTTGGACATTGAAATCCAAGCCGAGCAAGAAAGGTTGAGTTAAAAGAAATACACTAGTGTATTTTTCAGATTTGCATCAAGTGGAATTATCTAGTTTATTGAAGAGATGAGATTTTCTCTGACAACAAAGTGACTTTTTGATTTGAGTCCGCAAATTTTATGGGTCAAGTTGTTATTGAAGTTGAAGATTTTTTTTTTTTTTTTTGCAGTGACAACAAAATACAGACATCAAAGCTATTCACTGATAGTCATATCAGGACAAACTTGTCATCGGTGGTCGCTGGAATTCATGGACAAAAAGAATTGAGTTAATACAGTTGTGAGATTATTAAAAGGAAGTTAATTTTAGAAAAATCATTCCATATAATTTGCAGTTAACATATTTAACCTATGCACATGGTGGAGAAGTCATAAAGCTTGGTATTAGATTCTCAACCTATATATTTCTTTCTAGTTTCCTCAGTAAACGCACAGTGTTTACCTCTGTTTTTTGTTAAAAGAACAGAGGTAAACAGAGTATTCTTGTTCTCGGACATTAGTTAAAGTTAATATCCCTTAACACTCAATATGTTTCCTCTTGTTTTTGAATGTGATCTTGCATGCTCTATTATGTTGTCTTGCGTATTCTTTCATAAGTAGGGAACGCATTCTTTCCATCTAACCTATTCTCTGTAAATACTAATGACTTGTATAAATTTCTGGGTACGAGTTCTTCACTCCATGGCCCCCTGGCAAGCCCATTGCTCTAGCGACGGCCACATCAATCTTTCCAGTGATGCCGGTCCTCTTCCTCCAAACTAGCCCCTCTCCTCTTGTCTTTCTTCAGCGTCGTTTTTGTCGTCTCTCTTTCAAACCTGTCATGTGCGTGCTTTGTGAAAAAGGATTTTTCTTTTTTTTTTCTTCTTTTTTTTCCCCTTTAACTATATGTCCAGTCAGCTCATCATGCCACGTAATGAGATTATGTTGCTAAATCAAAACCCACCTCATCTAAACAAACACCATTTGTGCATCTCAGCAAAACTTAACAGACTAAATTCTAAGGATCAAAATCACAAATTTAAAATTTCATGAACCAATATCAAAATGAATCTATATTTGAAGGATTGAAAATTATATTAACCCTTTAAATGTTACAAATTTTCTTTGAAAATTTGATTTAAATGCTAGAAAATTTCTTTTATATATAAATATATATATATATATATATATATAGGAACAGAGTGGTATTGAAAAGTTGGCAAAAAGGAGTGGTATTGAAGAAAAATATGCTATACATTTTCCCTGATCTACTTTCTTCATCTTACCCAATAGGGATAAAATTGAAAAATATTATTAATTACCCTACAAGTGACTTATATCTAGATTTAAACTTGTCTTCTACAAGTAATTTATACTCTGGTCTTATTTATAAGACAGAGAGAAAAACATGTTTTGATCTTATTTATAGAGCATTAAAATAATTTTTTTGTATGAATGTATGACTTTCCCTTTATTTATTTTTATGTTGGTTTGTTTACAAGATGTATAATGTATATTAATAAGGATAAAATTGAAAAGTTATTGAATTTTAAATTAGAGTTATTGAAATTTAAGATTTTTTTATTTTTTAGTTTGTGTAAAACTTGTTGAAAGTAAGTTATAAATAAGACTGGATGAGTAACAAAATTCACTTCACCTCCATTAATTAATTTGGTTCCTTCTCCGTTAAGAAAGTTAGAAAGTAAATATTACATTTAATGAAGGGTGTATTTGAAAAGGACCAGAAAATTATATTAAATAAAACAATCCGACATATTTTCATTAAATGTGTTTATGTAATGTACGTGCGTGTGAAGCTTGAATGAGGCCTCAGGTTCCGGCCCGGCATCCACATATTCGTGTGCGTGCGTGCGTTCGTTTAAATAGTATTAAATCAAAAAATCCAACATATTTTCATTAAATTTATATATTATAAATGGTTGAAATATATTCCTAATATCAATCTCTCAATTGTCATTCGAACTTTCGAAAGGTGTATAAGGGGAAAATATTCCTAAACCCATTCAGCTAAAGTAACTGTAGGCTTTAAACAGTTGAAACGAGAAATTAAAAACACTAACACAATGCCTCAGGCTTTATTTGCTGGTGCTTTATGCATAGCCAGCATATGATACAGTACAATACAATGTCAAGGACATCAAAGCAGGGGATATTATAATACATATCCATTTATTTTTATTTATTTAGTACGTTATTTATTTATTTATTAAAGTGCCAATAATGGCAACATAAAACCCCATAACTATTTAAAATGCTATCAGAATAGCATTTCTGCATCAGATTCAATAAATGGCCGAAAGAGCACCGAAGAATCCTCTCTTCAATTTCGATGCTCTCTTTCCAAGACGACGAACTTTCTCTTCATAAAGAATTTGAGCCAGCCTACAAAGAAAAACACATAAAATCGTTATTATCAGAAGTTCAATTTCCATACTCAAAACTCTAATTTTTTATCCACCTGGATGTAGCAATATTTGTCAATAAATTAAAACTAGTCTGCCATTAAAAAAAAAAAGGAATCAAAACAAAAGTTTTTTGACGTGTGATACATACCTGTCCAGAGCTTCAGCATTGGTACCTTCACCAGTTTCCTCAGGAACAAAAGTATCCACATTCATCCTTTTAACTGGTTCATTCAGCAAATCCTGTCCTGCCTGTACAAGTTTATCCATGTTTTCCTTTGAAGCATCAGCCGAACCAATACTTGGATCTAAATTGTATTCCTGCACCAAATATTAATGTTATACATACGTATGTATGATATAGCAATTTGTAGATGATTAACTACTATGGTCCCGTTTGGTATGAAACATTGAGATGTAGAGATTGATATTGGAAATGAAATTGAAAATGTTCAACTAAAAGAGTATTTGATACGAGAAATTGCTTGTTATTTAGGATTGGGCAAACCTATATAGGTGGGGATTGGCATGGGAAGGTGGTTTAATCCTAGGATTAAGATTTTCATATCAAAGTGTCCATTACCTCCATTCCCACTCCTAATCCCACCTTCACACCCAATCCTATTTCCATTCCGGCTCCATCAAAATTGAGACCCACGTACCAAACATGACCTATAACTACTTCCTCTCGTCTTATTTAATTTGAGACCTTACCCATCGCGGTTTTTAATACAAGGTTCTTTGTTTCTTTCACTCTTGGCTTAAATAATGGCTTCGATTGATTAGGAACAACTTTGGAAAGTTGTAAAAAATCTTTGACACTTAACTAAAGTGAACTAATTTTCTCAATTATCAAGGTCTTGTAATTAAAAAAACGATCAGAGGCTGCAATGAACCCCGGTCCCTAACTTAGGAGTGAGTTAATTACGATTAGATTTGGTCCACTTTATTTTCCATATTTATCATTTTTTTAAAATTCATTTACTTATCTTATAAATTGATATATAATCTTACATTATTCAGGGGTATTTTAGGGAGATCAGGTCAAATTTATTACAATTAACTAATTTATCTAAAACTTTTCAACATATTTAGATTAGGTAAGTAGCTCGTATATTAAGAACGAAAGGAAATACTATCTTATCATGACCTATTTATACTAAAAAATTTATAGTTAAAAATACCTGAATTCGAAGGTAGTTCTGTGGTTGAAGTTTGAAGGTTGAGTTAATGCGATATTCATTCATGGTTGAAGATGCAGCTTCAATCATAGTTAAATTGCTCTTCTCCCAATCGGTAACAGTCCAAGTACGATTAGCATCAAAGCCCGGGGAAGTAGTGTTTGTATTTCCAGTTCCAATGGATAGCAAAATGATTTCTCTATTCTTGTATTCTTCTTGTCGTAACACCTCATTGATCGCAAGATTTGCCTGAAATATTATAGTTAAAACAATACTTAATTAATTATGGACATAATCTAATTTTTTGGTTTCTAAAAAGAAACGTCACACTCTAAAAATGTATAATTCAAAATCAACATATATAATGAGTAATAGCCAGAAGTCATAAGTAGTGAAGCTCACTCTCTAAGCTGGAAGTCGTAAGTAGTTCAAGTCACCATATTCAAACAATATTAGATTAATGGGAAATATGTCCTGTTGAAATTAAACTTTGATATTTACTACTATATTCCATATATAAATATGTGTCATTTTATTTGATACACACATAAAATTCTGATATCAATAGGTAATGAAAAAATCTCAATAGGAAATCACTGAACTTTTCTTATTCTATTTATAGATCGGCTCAATCAAATATTAATATTTTATTGTATATGTGAATATATCGGATATTGATTATTAATCTTTTAATAGTGATTTGCATACATGTATGATGTATGTATTTAATATGTATGTGTGTATATCTATATATATAAGGTTAATTTGCATCCAACTCTAAAATATTCAGTGGTTCATCTAGTAACTTGAAGTATTCTTTTAGGTATATTTAGCATCCTAAAGTATTTTGTGGTGTAATTTTGCCTGGGTAATTTAGAGTACCGGATGAATTTCAAAATATTTTAGAGTGTTAGATACGTTTACTCCAAGGTATTGGATTAACCTTAACCCCGTAATTATATATATGGTGTGCACACACGCGCACACACAGAGAGAGAGAGAGAGAGAGAGAGAGAGAGAGAGAGAGAGAGAGAGAGAGAGAGAGAGAGAGAGCTTAAATTACCGGCATAGGTGCAATGAAAAGGCCATCAACGAGATTAAATTCAGTATTTTGGTACTTGAAATAATAGGGCGGAAACGATCGCGGTGCTGCAGAGGTTCCAATACATGCGTCGGACAGTTTGACGTTTAAGTGAGGAACATCCTTTATCTGCATCATTATATATATATAGAGTTAATTTAATGGCCAGTCTCAATAGGATTAATTCATTCAATAGGAATAGAAATATATATAAATATATATCTCAAAACCTTGAAGCTTGAGAATATAGTTGGCTGAAGAAGCTTGATGTCGAAGGCGGAAATGACAACATTTGTGGCTGTCTGGTTTATCAGTGTTTCACCCAACATCTCGGCCGCTACTTGTCGTAAATACTTCCCGTCAAACACTGGACATAACCCAGTACAGTAGCTGTTGTCAAGAAACAAATATATAGTTATATCATTTTAAAACTGATGCTTTCAACTAAACATATTACATATAAATTACTTTCAATAATACATGTGTTTAAGGCAGATGGAAGAGGCTTGATTCCCCTAAAGATTCGAATCTTTATGTGCAACCTATTAATATATTACATTCGTCTTTAATATATGAGTTAGTCGACTGATTTAAGTAGATTAAGAAAATTAGTTAAATTAATTATTTGTAACAATAGATGTTGTCTTCCCTAAAATATCCTTGCTGATCATGTGTTTTAGGTAGAGCTACCATGTGATAAAACCTTTAATGTGTGCAACTATTATAAGGATTACTTCAAAATAAATAAATAAATATGAGAGACAAAATAGATTGAGATCTTATATTTAGAACCAAATTGAAAGTCAAACTAGCCTTATATTAAAGACCGAATGTGGTATAATCAACAAGTTTGACCAATTATCAGAAAATCTTTAAAAAAAAAAAAAAGGTGAATAGCTTTCAACGCCTTGATGTTATTACAACACTTTAATGTTATTACCTATCAGTATCCAACACCCTAATCTTATTTATGGTACATCAACACCCTATATTATTTTTTTGGTGCTTCCAAATCCCGTGATGTTATTTTCAGTTATATCCAACAATGTAATCTTATTTATTGTTTAATGTGTTGGATGCACTATAAATAAATAAAATTAGGGTGCCGGAAGCACTACAAAAATAACATCAAGATGCTGGATGCACCATAACAAAGATTAGGGTGCCAGATTCAACTAAAAAATAATACTCCTCGGATCCTTAATATAGAACCCAATTCTTGAGTTGGTTTTGGTCCTAAATATAAGACTTATTTCTCATATTTATCAATTTTCTCTAAATTACCCCTATAGATACTCCCTCAACCATAATCAAATAGAAGAGGGAGAGAGGGTATTAAAAAAGATGATTATGGTATTTTAGGAAAAATGTGTCACTTTTCTTATAATTAACTAACTTACCTAACTTCCTTAATTTAATCAAATTAGTTAAATGGGTCTTATATTAAGGACCGGAGGAGTAATATCTTAGTACTGGATGCTACTTTACCCAAACAAAGATAATCTGAGAGGAGCCACTTCCAGTTAAAACCAACAATAATCAAGTCTAACGTACTAATATTAGATTTCAAATAGTGGTACAAAAAAATTACTTTTTAGAACAATTAAGCATGTCTGGAACCCATTTTTGTTTGCAAAAATATATAAATTCATTACCATCACGATTTCTACTATCTAACTATTTGAATTATGACCAATTACTATTATAATCTGTTTTGATGGTCTCTAACTAAAAGATAAGCCTACGTACACATACCAATAGATGTTTGGAGTGAAGATGGAAGGACCATGCTCTTTGTAAAACTTGACAATTTCATCAGCAGCATAGATAGGGCGGTCCTTGTTTTGAGGGTCAGGGGCAGTGAGAAGTGCAGTTATAAGCCCTCCAGTGCTTGTCCCAGCAACCACATCAAAATACTCTCCTATTCTTGCATTTGGGTCCCTTTTCTGAATTTCTCACTCAAACATAGATGTTGTTACTGTTGTTCATTTTTTAGTATGTTAAATATACAGAGAACCATATATACAATTAAAAAAACTTATTGTTTATGCAAATAAGCACTTCTTTGTTTGCCCCCATAATCAAAGATAAATAAATTTCTCCTGAATATTGTTGAAATCTTGCAAATTTCCCCTTTTTTTTCCGACATATATAAGGATCTCTCCTTGAGTAAATATGAAATAATTAATGCTTCTGACTTTTGTTGAAATTTCCCGGACATATATATTCTCTATAATTTCAAATATATACCCAGACATAATAAATACCTGGAGGTCAGCTTCAAGTTGTTCAAGGATAACCCCAGGGAGAATCCCTTTAATGCCTCCTCCATCAATGGCAAGGACTCTGACTTTTGCTGCATTCTCTTCCACAGCCATGAGTTGATTGGAGAATGCAACAAGTAAAAAAAGGAACACAACTATTTTTGACATTTTTAGGGTTTGAGAGAAACAAACAGCTCAGAAGAGACTTCTGATATCGTAAGAGGTAAGAGATGAGTTCGTAACTTGAGCGGTCTTCGTTAATGAGCTAGGGTTTATATAGAAATTTGGTCACGACGAGACAAAATATTAAGGCTAAAACATTTTTGAAAAAAAGCCCTAATTTTTATGTCATGTGTAATTAACCTCCCCAACCTTTAAAATTATATAACATACCTCCCTGAACATTTACATTTATGCACAAAGCTTTCATGTTATTAGTTATATTCATTATTTATGATCTGTAAATGCCTTGAAATTTAAATGGTATAAAACTCAGTTTGAGGCGGTTATAGGTACAAAAATAATGTTTAAGGGGTATAAAATAGATAGCTTGGGATTATTTGCCTAAATTTAAAAGTTCAGAAAGATTTATATAATTTAGAAAATATTAACAACGCATAGGCCAAACGAAAATTGAACACACGCTACATGTGATTGGGTTAAAGAACAAATACAAACGTATCAATTAGTAATGGTCCATTTTAGTGGCCCATGAGTGCATAATATGTTTGTACAAAACTTAATGTTTATTTTCCCTATTTCACCATTCTTCTGATCAGCAATTTTACATATCTTTTGCAGTTTAAAAATTATAATGAACATTTTTTTTTATGGATGTAATTGAATCTTATAATTTACGTGTAATTAGAAATTAAAGCATCTGTCCTTTTACTGTAATTGCGGATAAATATAAAGTTGAAAAAAGTTTGAAGTACTTTCATTTCACCCATACAATTCAGGGATTCATGCTAAATTGCGGATTGATGCATGTGCGACGCAATAAACTTGCCACCAATATGTAATCCAAATAATAAAATTGGAAGGAAAAAAAGAAATATTTTCATTATGTTAATTAAGCAAAATAGTAGTAGTATATCATTATGTTCATTAAGCAAAATACGCAATTATAGATCATTTTAGATAACCTTAAACTTTGCAATGAATCTCATTAAACTCTTACATCTGCCTAGATAACTCTCCTACTAATAATTTTATTCATTACTTATTTAGAAGGCTTATATACATATAACTCAAAGCTTCAGGGGCCATACATGCATACAAAGATATTATTTGAATGGTATATAATTTGATAGCTTGGGTTTATCCATATGGAGTTGAAAAGTTTTTTTTTTGTGGCCAAAATATAGAGTTGAAAAGTTTAGGAGGGTTTGTTATTAATCTTTAAAGCTTTATCCATACGTAGTTAAAGGTATAGGGAAGTCTTGTGCAATTTAGTATTTCTTATACTAGAGAAATATGGTTTTGGTTAAAGTTTTATAAATTAATAAAATAAGGGCTTTATCGGAAATAAAATCCCTATCCTTGGATTAAGTAGCTGGTAACACATAACTTACATGAACCTTGTGATAACCCAAGATATCAGGTTATAGCTTGAGTGTTCTCCCTTAATGAGCATGGTAATGGTAATTTACATATAAACTTGATCAAAACGAGACAAAAGATTAATTACACAAATGCCAAATGAACAATTGACTTGTGCTATGTGTAATTCACTTAAAGAACACATACAATTTTAACATTTAAAGTAATGGTCCAATTGATTGGTCCACAAGGACTTCATAAATACATAATAACTACAGTCAAAATTAAGTTGAGGTAAAAAAAAAGTGTGAAACTCTTGTACCCATAAAATATGCTTACTTGGGTTGATATTTTTGTGGGTGTACATGTGTGTGTGAATGTCCAACTTTATATACTACCTCTAGTCTTAATTATAAGATCTCATTTGTAAACTATAAACAAGATCATGTAATTAGGACTAAAGGTAGTACAATAAAATTGGCACCGATATCTAATCAAACCAACTAAATAACATATAGGTCTAGGGATATGGCGTCTGAAGAAAACATAAAACGATAACTAGATATATAGACTAAACAACCAAAATTTTGCCACAAAATTAATTTTTCAGTTAGAGAAAACATGGCTTAGGTTAGTTGCTCCATTTACAAATGCTATCATTTGATTAAGTGGCATGCAACATACTGTCTCTAGTCCTTAATATAAGAGCTAAATAATTAATTTGCATATATTAAGAAAATTAGTTAAGTTAATTATTTGTAATAAATGAGTATTAGTTTCCTGAAATATCTTTATTAATCATGTGCATTAGAATGGAAACTATTTAACGTGTACAGTCACTATGAAGACTAATTTAGAGGAAAAATGAATAAATATGAAAAACATGGTGAATTTGAGTATTATATTTAGGACCGAATTGAATCTCTGATTAGCTCCTACATTTAAGACTTGATGTGGTATAATTTATATAAGGCTTTTGGCAAGCGTATGTTGTCAACTTAATTTCTAGCTTGAGTGGTCTCTGGTGATGATCGTGATAGCACATATAAAAATGATCGAGATGAGACAAAATTTCGTGCAATCATATGCGGGATGGAGTATAATTAAGAACGCATAGAGACATAGAGAATTTAAATTAATGGTCCATTATTGGTCCATTTAAATGGTCCACAAGTTCTTAACCATACAAAACTTGGGAAGATATTAAGTTGATTTATTGACTCAACTTGAGCGAGAACACTCTGGTACCCATACAATGTACAGATTCATCCTTGCTTGCAAGTTGATTTTTTTTCACATACGTGAATATCAATTTTTTCAAATATGTGAATATCAATTGTTTTTCAAATACAATAAATTTGACACTACTAAAAAAATTAAAGGTAAAAAGTACTTTCCTTTTAATAATAAAACAACGTACATCAAATGGTCAAATTATTCGAAACTGAGAATAAGTCTAGTTGGCACTACTTGACTGCCAAAATAATGCACACAAAATTACGTAAAATTCCTATATCAAATGACAATTTCAATTTAATTGAACATTTTAAAATTTTATAAACTTTTATTCAATAATTCAATATACATTATATGTGTGCGCGCATGATATGCATGATCGAATTCAAGAACACAGAAACAAAGCATTTAAATTAATGGTCCATTACTGAGAAATTCTAATGGTCCACAAGTTCTTAAACATATAAAACTGAACTGTAAAATAATAGATAAAATTACTATAAATTTCAAGAAAGGAACATAATCCTTAAAAAGTCTAACAAATGAGCAGTATAAACCTACTAACATTTTCTATACCGAAACTTGTCATTATATGCTGTTAACTTATTATGAAATTTTTAAGTAATTAAAATCTTTTTTTAAATCTCATAGTGATTCTCATATTATCAGCGTAGTTCAAAATAAAATGCCAAAGTTTCCGACCATTTAATAAAAGCAAGACATTAAAACATTATGTGAGGGGTGTGTGGGTGTAAAGCACAAAGACCATATTAGATCACCTTCCTTTGCTACGCCATCACCTCGCCCAAAAAAAGAGAATGTAAAAGGCTACATATACCACCATACCAAAAAAAAAACAAAAAATGAAACAACCAGATTCTTCTTGTATATTATAGGATATACAGTCGTTCACATATTCCAACAAATAAAAGCTAGACATGCTCTTTCACGAGATTCTTCTTCAAGGTATCAATGAACCTTATTTTTTGTGTGCCATTGCTTGAAACAAAGTCAAAATACTCTTCGACGCTAGATTCTCTGTACAGGCATGGGCGTTCTTCATCCACCAGCATTATGTTAATTAAGCAAAATAGTAGCAGTATATCATTATGTTCATTAAGCAAAATACGCAATTATGGATCATTTTAGATAACCTTAAACCTTGCAGTGAATCTCATTAAACTCTTACATTTGCCTAGATAACTCTCCTACTAATAATTTTATTCGTTACTTATTTAGAAGGCTTATATACATATAACTCAAAGCTTCAGGGGCCGTACATGCATACAAAGATACAATTTGAATGGTACATAATTTGATAGCTTGGGTTTATCCATATGGAGTTGAAAAGTTTTTCTTTTTTCTTTTTTTGGCCAAAATATAGAGTTGAAAAGTTTAGAAGGGTTTGCTATTAATCTTTAAAGCTTTATCCATACATAGCTAAAGGTATAGGGAAGTCTTGTGTAATTTAGTATTTCTTATACTAGAGAAATATGGTTTTGGTTAATTTTTTATAAATTAATATAATAAAGGCTTGATCGGATATAAAATCCCTATCCTTGGATTAAGTAGCGGGGAACACATAACTTACATGAACCTTGTGATAACCCAAGATATCAGGTTATATCTTGAGTGTTCTCCCTTAATGAGCATGGTAATGGTAATTTACATATAAAAGTGATCAAAACGAGACAAAAGATTAATTACACAAATGCCAAATGAAAAATTGACTTATGCTATGTGTAGTTCACTTAAAGAACACATGCAATTTTAACATTTAAAGTAATGGTCCAATTGATTGGTCCACAAGTACTTCATAAATACATAATAACTACGGTCAAAATTAAGTTGAGGAGAAAAAAAAAAAGTGTGAAACTCTTGTACCCATAAAATATGCTTACTTGAGGGTTGATATTTTTGTGGGTGTAGATGTGTGTGTGAATGTCCAACTTTATATACTACCTCTGATCTTAATTATAAGACCTTATTTGTAAACTATAAACGAGATCATGTAATTAGGACTGGAGGTAATACAATAAAATTGGCACCGATATCTAATCAAACCAACTAAATAACATATAAGTCTAGGGATATGGTGTCTGAAGAAAAGATATAAAGATAACTAGATATATAGACTAAACAACCAAAATTTTGCCACAAAATTAATTTTTCAGTTAGAGAAAACATGGCTTAGGTTAGTTGCTCCATTTACAAATGCTATCATTTGATTAAGTGGCATGCAACATACTGTCTCTAGTCCTTAATATAAGAGCTAGATAATTAATTTGCATATATTAAGAAAATTAGTTAAGTTAATTATTTTTAATAAATGAGTATTAACTTTCCTGAAATATCTTTATTAATCATGCATGTGCATTAGAATGGAAACTATTTAACATGTACAATCACTATGAAGACTAATTTAGAGGAAAAATAAATAAATATGAAAAACATGATAAATTTGAGTCTTATATTTAGGACCGAATCGAATCTCTGATTGGCTCTTACATTTATGACTTGATGTGGTATAATATATATGGCTCATGGCAAACGTATGTTGTCAATTTAATTTCTAGCTTGAGTGGTCTCTGTTGATGATCGTGATAGCACATATAAAAATGATCGAGTTGAGACAAAATTTCGTGCAATCATATGCGTGATGGAGTATAATCAAGAATGCATAGAGACATAGAGAATTAAAATTAATGGTCCATTATTGGTCCATTTAAATGGTCCAAAAGTTCTTAACCATACAAATCTTGGGTAGGTATTAAGTTGATTTATTGACTCAACTTGAGGGAGAACACTCTTGTACCCATACAAGGTACAGATTCATCCTTGCTTGCAAGTTGATTTTTTTCTGCCCCATATACGTGACTGTCAATTTTTCAAATATGTGAACATCAATTTTTTTCAAATACAACAAATTTGACACTACTGATAAAAATTAAGGCAAAAAATATTATTCATCTTTCCTTTTAATAATAAAACAACGTACAACCAATGGTCAAATTATTCGAAACTGAGAATAAGTCTAGTTGGCACAAAGTGACTGTTAAAATAATGCACACAAGATTAGATAAAATTCCCATATCACATGAAAATTTCAATTTAATTGAACATTTTAAAAAGTCTAACAAATGAGCAGTATAAACTTATTATCATTTTCTATACCGAAACTTATCATTATATGCTGCTAACTAATTATGAAATTTTTTTAGTAATTATATCTTGTTTTTTAATCTCATAGTGATTCTCCTATTATCAGCGTAGTTCAAAGTAAAATGCCAAAGTTTCCGACCATTTAATAAAAGCAAGACATTAAAACATTATGCGAGGGATGTGTGTGTGTGTGTAAAGCAAAAAGACCTTATTAGATCGCCTTCCTTTGCTACACCATCACCTCGCCCAAAAAAAGAGAATGTAAAAGGCTATAAATACCACCAACCAAAAATTAAAAAAAAAAAAATGAAACAACCAGATTCTTCTTGTATATTATAGGATATACAGTCATTCACACATTCCAATAAATAAAAGCTAGGCATGTTCTTTCACGAGATTCTTCTTCAGGGTATCAATGAACCTTATTTTTTGTGTACCATTGCTTGAAACAAAGTCAAAATATTCTTTGACGCTAGATTCTCTGTACAGGCATGGGTGTTCTTCATCCACCAGCATTGGAGCTGGCCTAACTTTTTCCTCTAATGCAAAACTGCAGAAACTTGCTATGGAAATTCGATTCTGATCTGCATTATTACTAATTGTCGCTCGATGTGTCACGCTCTTATATATTCCATTGCTCATTACTTCCATTTGATCTCCCAAAAGCACTAACAAAGCTCCTTCAATTAATGGCACATCAACCCACTTGTCATTAGGGTTCTTAATTTGTAGCCCTGGATGACTCTGAAGTGCAATAGTAAGTAAGCCATGATCAGTGTGGGGAGCCAAGCCTGAAAGAGATTGTGGCTCAGAACAAAGGGGATAGAAGTTCACGAGCACGACGTGCATTCCTTGGTCGATTTCTCCTTGTATGTAACTAGGGTTTAATCCTAAGCTTTTTATAACAATATCCATTAGTAGCTGGTTTAGAGCTTGCACTGCCACCACATACTCTCTCATCTTTTCCCTGTAAAAAGCATGTTCAGTTCATTCATAATCTCAAGTTCGGCTTCCAGAGGGATGAAATCTTTGAACTATCGTACTCCCAGTTTCCCCCCTTGTTAAAAAAGTTTAACCACAGTTGCAGAAACTGCAGCTAAGCCTGTTGTTAAATCTTAGGGGATATATTTCTATTTCTAGCACAACAAATTATTCTTGACACTAGTGACTCATAACAATGCGCCCCATTCGAGAGCTAACAATTCCATGGCATTTCACTTGGCATCTTGCTACTCAAATTCCATGACAGGACAAGTTCAAAACGAGATCCCAACCCAAAAGTCTAGCCTATTGGGAGGGAGAATGCCATATAAAACTCGCTTCTCTTGTAAAAACCCTTGATATGGGACTCATAACAACAAACAGGAAGCCAATTTTTTGGATGATATCAATAGCCACCTGTGGAGAATTTTCACTTGGTTTAAAGTGTTCGCATTGCACTGGCTTAGGGAGGATGAGAAATGAACTTGCTATCAATTTGTCATTATGGCTAAAATATATATATAGTTTGAAGAGTTATGATTATTGATTTTACCTGCATGATCTCGGGAGAACATCTCAGATATGAAATCAACTACAACGCGTTCCATATTACACTTGAAGATGATGAGTCGGTTAAAAAAATGTTGAAATTTTAAAGACCCTTGGTGACCAACACTATGAAAAAGCAGAGTTAATTGAATGTGGCAGAATGATAGTGTTGTTCATTACTTACTTGTAATTTGAAGGATTTGAAGGCCACATATGGATCCAATGTGAGATTGGATGACAGTAGAGCTTGAGGAAACTTCTCTGTAGGTAACCTTCTCTGTGAGGATTTGTGATGTTCGTCCCATATCTCACAGGCTTATAAATATCATCTGAAGCAAAACTCATCTTTTCCTCATCAGACATGTCAAAGAACTCCATTGAAGTGTCTATGGCATCTTTGATAACAGAGTGAGAAACTCCATGATTTATAACCTGAAAACAGACAAACTTTAAGGTACATGCACAGTTACTTGTTAACAAATAATAAAAATATGAAGAATATAATGTGGTTAGGTCGAGTAGAATGAACTTAATATTCCTTAAGTAAGATCATGGATTAATATATTTTAAATGATTAAAAAAAATTACATTATGAAAATTACCTTTATTAGATACGACAATACATAATCTGACTCAATAACAATACATATCAGCTAGTTATGCCAAAAACAGTTTTATATACTTCCAAACCTGAAAGAAACCAATTTCTTTACACGCAATCTGAATTTTCTCAAGTGTTTGAGATCTTGAAGAATGATCTTTCAAGGAGGAAAGATCTATCAAAGGAAGGTCTGTGGTCATACTCATTTGCAAAAAGCCAGCTAAGGAAAACCTGACAGAATCTTATTCCTGAAAATTCATTAACCAAAATTCGTTAACTTACAATTCAAAATATATATCCTGTTAGAGTCAAAACACACAAATCAACAAAGGAACTGAGCATTCACAAATTACAACTCAATTTCACGGTACATGCAACTTGGCTTGCTAAAGTAGTTTATGAATATGAGAGAAAAAATGTTTCACTTTATTTAAAACTAACTACAAAAGATTCTTGAAAGAACAAACTATTTTAAAATACTACTGTGAAACTTGTAATCATCACCAAACAGGACAGGATTCTTTTATAAACCAAGTTCTTTAGTCAGGGAATGCCACAAGACAACATAGAAATTAATAATAATATCAAAATTATTGAGAGAAAAATTTATTGAAGTTTCTCATCAACAGGACAATTGTGTGCTTTTCCTTAAATTCGCCGGATTTATTGTCGAAGAATTATATACGCTCCGCTAAAGAAGCATGAATCTAAAAACTTCAATTTTATTTTATTTTAATGGCTACAATCTACAGATGACGCAACCACAACTGCAACAGAAGGGAAAAAATTCTCTTAGAATAAGAAGGAAAGTTGGACGATGTAAACTCGGTTCTACTGGCAAGTTTCAGAAATTCAAGATAATAATTGTTAAGTATATAGGACAAATTTGTCAAGATCTTACTTTACTTGCCTACCATGAAAGCATTTAGTGGCATGCTGCTTCCCTCTGATGCGTTCAATCAGGTTGATCAATCAACGAAGAAAGAGGATGAGACTTGAGCTAGTACGGAAAAGAAAATGAAGGTCAGATATATGTGTAAGAGGAGTTTGAGAGGTTTGCATGTAGACACAGCTTTAATCTTTGGATTCTCTGCGTGTAAGAGAAATTGCTGAAGCACGCATTTCTTTTTTTTTTGTCGATTGGGAGGAGAAAGAAATGATTTATTGTTTGACTTAATCGAGAAAAGTTCACATGTTAAGGCAGACCAATCGACAAAGAAATCTCACGGACGTCTCAAGACACGTAGAATTAAATAAACATATAGATATAGGATCTAGATCAGAGGTGTGTATCTCTAAGTGCACCATGTGTCGTCCTCTTTTTTATTAATTTAAAAATCACTACTTTTCTAAAATGATAAGGTTGATTGTTGGATTATTAGAGTAATCTCTCGACAATTTTAAATTTATACAAATGCAAGTTGGAGCGTCTGCTATATTGGAATGAAGGTTTTAAATACGACACAACACACTTATTATTTAAGAGACTTAACTAATGTTAAATTTGCATTATTTTTTTCCCATCTTTCTCTGGTTGGCATGTGATGCCACAATCGAAATCACAATACGTGTATTTTACTTTGTGAAACGTGTAAGCATCTATGAGAAAGCCACACACTTAGGAGATAAACTTTTAGGTATTGTTGTTATTTATAATATCAAAACAGTATGAAGTCATTAAAAAAATAAAGAAATATCGAATAAACACTCGACAAAGTTATTGAGTCAGGACTTTTTTTGTTAACAATTTATTCAAAGATTTAGTCATTGACAGGCACAATAGTATCATGTGATCTATGTAGCTAGTCTCACCTAATCAGATAACACTCGTTATAATTATTGCTGCTCTCTAGCATGCCTTCAGACCAAATTTTTCTGATATCACTCTATATTAATTATCACAGTCCGTGTTCTTTTAGGACACGGACTTGCGACCAAGTACTAAAGTTGTACTTACAGTTAAATTTAAATTGACCATTCCACATAGCCAAGTGAAGATATATATATATATATATATATATATAACTAAATTAAGGAAATGAGAACACAAAACACTTGCACATAGATTACAAAAGTACTCGCTTACTTGTACACACTAGGATATACAGTGTCCCTTACAGATTAATGAACCAACCAATAAATGAATGCTACTATATCTATGCTTGTCCTTTGACAAGATTCTTCTTCTTCAAGGTATCAATGAACCTTCTTTTCTGTTTATGATCACTACTTGACAAGAAGTCAAGAAAGTCTTTAAAGCTACACTCTTCATATAAGCTTTCACATTCTTCATTTACTAACAATGGTGCGGGCCTGACTTTTTCCTCTAATGCAAAACTGTTAATACTTGCAATGGAAATTCGATTCTGATCTGAACTAACAGCTTGATGAATCACACTCTTGTATATCCCATTGCTTAGTACTTCCATTTGATCTCCCAAAAGTACTAACGATGATCCTTCCGAAAATGGAACCTTGACCCATTTATCGTCACTGTTCTTAATTTGTAGCCCTGGATAGCTCTGAAGTAAGATAGTAATTAAGCCATGATCTGTGTGAGGAGCTAAGCCTGAAGTGAGGTTTGGCTCAGAGCTTAGTGGATAAGAGTTCACGGCCACAACGTGCATGCCTTCTTCGATTTGTTTTTGTATGGAATTGGGGTTTATCCCTAAGCTCTCAAGAACAAGATCTGTTAATTGCTTTTGAAGATCTTGCACTGCCATCACATATCTCCCCACTTTTTCCCTGTCAAAGTTCAGATCAAACTGAACATAAGTTTCAGGAATGGAACCGATGACACACTAGATTCGCCAAATTTGATTCATTTGTAATTAAATTGGTTAAAACAAATGAAATCTAGAGAGACAAAACTAACAAAAGCCTTCAAGAAGTGCAAGATGCAGAGTTGAGATTGGATGAGGTAATAAAAGGCTTCAATTAGTGTCAGCAAAATCATATCTTACTTGTAATCAGGAGGGTTTGCAGGCCAGAGATGGATCCAATTTGAGATTGGATGAGAATAAAGCTTGAGGAAACTTCTCTGAAGGTAACTTTCTTGTTTCACATCATTCCTGATATTCGTTCCATATCTCACTGGCTTAAAAATATCGTCTGAAGCCAGACACATCTTCTCCTCCTCTGGCAATTCAAAGAACTTAATTGCTGTGTCTATGGCATCTCTTGTAACAGACTCCGAAATTCCATGGTTTACAACCTAAAACCCCAGAAAAAGAAAAACAACCTTAACCTCTATTGATACTAGTTAATGAAGAGTGTCGTGTGTGCGTGTAGATATATACAGATACCCGAAAGAAACCGAGGTCTTTGCAAGCAGTCTTAATTCTTTCAATTGACTGAGACCTCGAAGAAGGATCCTTCAAAGACGAAAGGTCTATCAATGGAAGGGTGGTTGAAGCGCTCATTTTTCTTAACAACTCAACAATCACAGTTAATCTCACAAGAACCAGAAGATAATATATTGATTGGTCAGAAAACAGTATTGATCAATTAACAAAGAGAAAGAGAATGAAGTATGAGCAGTCCAGAAAAGAGAATGAATTCAGATATGGACAGAAGCTTCTGGTTTTGATCTTCGGAAGCCGCAATATAATAATGGAAACAGACAGATGTTACAAAAAGGCCGAGCAACGAATGATGTATGTTTTGGTAATTGCACTTGCAACTACTCATGAAGAATTCCAATGTTGAAGACACGTAACATTGTGACAGGCAACCTTCACGGACTCGAAACAGACCTATAAAGAAATATATGTATATGCGTGCTGATGACAAGTGGTGGATTTTTGATTATTTTAACCACCTTCGGCGTGGATCTAGCTTATGTTGTTGTTAAAAACTACAAACTAGCTGTATCTTAATATCTACCGATCGATATCTTAAGATCTTGTTTATAAATTACTTCCTGCATATTTTTTTGAACTAATACAACCTTAAATATCATTAACTATGTCTTAAAATTTAACAACTTTTTTAACTTCACCCCATTTAGTATATATTATATCTCATAAAAACAAAGTCTATTTAATAATAAATGAAAGATAAAATTGTGTATTCCCATAAAAATTTTACTGATGTAACTTGTAAATTAGACCAAAAAAAATTATTCTTTTTCTGCTATCGGAGAAGTATCAATATTAATGTCAAATACATAGAATTCAATTCACCCTTGAATGTCTTCCAACGCTCAACGTACATTTGACCATAAACACATGCGAGTAAACTGACTACTTAATTAGATGAATGGCAATAGTTTCAAGTGTTGGAACGTTGATGCTGTTAACTTCAATCAATTAGTTAAAATAATTGAGGTAAGTTGAAGTTTTTGTTTGAATTAAATTAACCCTCCTTTAATTTCCGCTTTTTCAATTATCACAATATCACTTGACGATCCTGTTTAATTAATGTGGTTCAATTTGGAGAATACCATAGTTATAATTAATGGGAGCGTAGCGATCGAGAGGAACTATGCATTGGGTGAAAATAGAAAAATAAAAAATGATAATACGCGTAGAAAAACTTGAAATCTTTATATACTCTTGCATTTAATATAAGACCTAATTGGAGAGTTAATGTTAGTCCTATATATAAGACATATTTGATATGTTTATCAATTCTTTTTCAAATTAACCTTATTAATATTCTCTCAACAATAATCAAGCAGAGAAAGGAGTGAGAAAATTGAGAAAGATGTCTAGCGTGTTTTAGGAAAAAAATATATCATACTACCCCTGGTCCTAAATATAAGAGTTAGTTGGAAGTTTTAAATATAACACTTCAATTCATTTTGTCTCTTAAATTTATAATGTGTTTTCAAAAATATCCCTGATTGTAAGGTTATGATTGAATAAGAGTAATTTAGAAAAATCAACATACATTTATTACAAATAACTAATTTTTTTAATCTCTCCAAATTAGATATCTAACTCCTATATATATTAAAAATTAGAAGTAATATTAATTAATTTAATTAATATTTTTAATCTACTCAAATTAATTAGTTATATGTATCAGTTAATTTGAACAAGTCAAATGATATCACAGGTGGGTTCTACTTTTCTGTTTTCACTTTACCAATGTTCCTCTGGGTTTCATATCCGTAGGGTGTGTTACGCCACCGAATTGAGCGGTTCTTATTTATAAGTCGGTAAATACGGTATTATTACATTTTTTTACAATTGTTCTTATTTAAAGTTTGATATAATTTTCTTTTTTTTTTTTGCATTCTCACAATGAAATTCATGATTTTAATATGATTAAATTTAGAGAAAAAAAATATTTCAAATAAATTTAATAAATTAACCATTTCTTTTTTATTCTGTTGAAATAATTGAATATGGCTTATAATAGAGTCAAGAGGAAGCATAAACAAACAAACCAAATTCTTCCTTTTAGTTTAGTGGCAGGGCACCAGAACTTCTTCTTCTTCTTTTTTTCCCCCACTACTCCTTAGTGCCTGTAGTGTTGTTTTGTATGTGATGAGGATTCTTTTCAGTTGCAGAATGACATAAGCACCCCCGGGGGAGGGGGGGTTTCACCAAATCCACACCACCCACAGATAAACTTTTTTATTCCTCTCTCGACCTACACTGCAAGTTTATCTAAAAGTGAATTCAAATCAGAGCACATGAAATTTCTTATTCTCTGTATGGGCAAGGCCTTCACATGAAATCATGAGTGGTATTTTTGTCTTGGGACGGTGGATCTATTTGAAACCATAATTCAATCACTTATAATGCCTTCGTCTCCATAAGGCAAAGTCCATCTTATTAGACGGTGTTGGGAGACTCTCAGAGCAAGGTTTTCATGGAGCAACCTCAGCCAAAATCTTGCCTCGGATCCTAGATACTATAACAACTAGACAATGAACTTACTTTATTCCAAAATACTACTCCTCCAGTCCTTAATATAAGACCCATTTAACTAATTTAATTAGATTAAGAAAGTTAGGTAAATTAGTTAATTATAAGACATGCGACACGTTTTTCCTAAAATACTATAATAATCTTTCTTAATACCCCATCTTCCTCTTCTACTTGATTATGGTTGAGGGAGTATCCATAAGGATAATTTAGAAAAAATTGATAAATATGATAAATGAGTCTTATATTTAGGACTAAAACCAACTCAACAACGGTCCTATATTAAGGACCGGAGGAGTACTTTTAATTCTTAATACAAGAACTAGTTTGACTTTTAATTTAATCCTAAATACATGACTCCAAATCCATTTTGTCTTTTATATTTATCTTTTTTTTTAAATACTCCTTGTAGTAGTTACACATGTTAAAGATTTCATCAAATGCTAGTTTTAACTAATATGCATTATTAGTAAAAGTATTTTACGAAAAACAACACCTATTTATTACAAATAATTAACTTAACCAATATCTTTAATCTCTATATTAAGAACTAAAGATAGGAGAAAAAATCAACCTATTTTGTCTCTCAAATTATAATTTTTTGCCCAAGATACCTTTACTGATTGCGCAAATTAAAAGAATGTCCAATTAAGAAGTAATTATAATACATATGATTAAAGAAGATAAAATATATTTATTACAAATAATTAATTTAACTAAAGTTTTCCTATATCTACAAATTAGTTATTAAGCTATTATATTACAAACAGGAGGGAGTATATCCCATACACACAATGAATTGGCACTATTCATCTCAAAGTGAAAAGAACAATGTTAGAAAAATAAATGATCCATAGAACAATTTCAAGCCCAGTTCAATGGCTTCTATCTCATGGATAATATCAATGGGGCAACTACACAGGTTGGGGGAAGATTTTCCCTCAACCCAAGACCATGATGTACTGGCCCAAAAGAAATTCATGCATTGATGGGGTCCGAAAAGAAACCAAAGTCCATGAGAATATTATTGGAATGTTCTCAAATAATATAATTTTATTTCTTTCTAACATATGTATCAATAGTACTAAATAAAAATACCAAGTCCTATTAGCCTGCTATATTAGCTTGAATTGAATAATTAATTCATGAACAATGCCCCTATCTTTTGATATCTCTAGTTTTGTTAACCCTACGGAATCGCAAGATCCAAATTACAAACAGAACAATTTAAAACCACTTCTAATCCTACCAACAATTCATATTTTGGAACTCGTCGAGCACTGTATGATCTGAATCTTGTACATAGAGAAAATCGCATTAGGACAGCTATCTAAGATTCTTATCACCAATACACATGCATCAACAGTAACTAAAGAAGATCAGGAGCCACGGCAAGATGTAGCGGACGCCTCAACAGATTGGGAGCGAAACAAGATCCTCTTTCATAAAAGGAGAAGAATTAATACAACAATGCAAGGATAAGACTAATACACAAGATTCTTCATTATACATACAATGCATGAAAAAGGGCTATGTGAAACAAAATCTTTGCAATAGACCAAACAGAGCAGCATGCTATACAGCCCGCAGAATACCATGAATGTTAGTGGCATAACGGAGCAGATCCTAAAGGTAACCTGGGTTTGAACCCCTCAGTAATGGAGATGAAAACAAACATGTAAATGGTACAAACAATACTCCAGATCCTTAATCCACCACATCAGCATTTTCCTCTCCCCCAGTTCCTGCATATCAAAACGTGAACGAGTTCAGCAACATACCACTCAGAGGTCTGTGTCCCATAAGTTGTCATAATGCACTGATTTGGGTACGCATATTTGATATCACATGATACAGCAAGAGGGGCAGAAATATCTAACAAGAAATCATGAATGATACAATGAAGAAATCAAGAGCTCAGTTAGGAGGAAAGCCAACTTATGCCATCTATGAATAGATGCAAGATTCATGCCAATGGGAGTAACCAAACACAGGCAGATAACAGAGCATTAGTTCCATCCATCCCATTACCACATGCACAAGTTAGATATAAGTAACCACGAACAACTCGAATGTTCAGCATGGAATTGAGAGCAATTCTATAGAAAGATCAGTCTCTCAAGTAGTTGAACTTTTCAGTTTTCATCATTAGATGAACTTTTAGATTACACCTTTTAGTTAAAAACTCTTAAGATTCAATTGGGAAAGTGCTCAAAATCTCAAGAATGGAGCTTTCCATAGAATTACCCCAGAATCTATATGGTTTACTGTCCACATAACTAAGTCCAATTGATGAGCGATGATTCGTTTGCTTGGTGATCAGGGTTGAATTGAAGAACTATCGTATAATTTGTCTGAGCTACTTTAATAGAATATTTGGATTGAAGAAAAATTTTATCGACCAGATGGCATTTATCTTCTGAGGATGGATGAAGAATGTTATGCATGTTGAGTCAGAGTAACTCTTTAAACATAGCTAACAAATTAATGGTGATATTTTCGTATTTCAGACCACAAGTTTTTCAGAAAGCCAGACTTTTTTGTACTACATATTTTCCACTGGCATTTTGCAAGTATCCTCCCTAAAGAAATGGAGGGAGTCAATCTCTCGGATCTCACAGGCATGTCATTCTGATCCAAAGCTCATTTAGAGCAACAGCGAAGTCATCATGCATAAGCAAACAAAATCAATTTTCCAGGCATGTTATAAGAAACCAAATGTAAGAAACAATTACTTCAAATTGTACTATAATGAAGATGAAATAGCAGAATTCAACACTGCAGAGTGCCTGTAAGAGGCAAAATTGACAATGTAGCATAGAAAAAACGTCAATATTGCAGCCGAGACACATCCATGTTAAAAATTGGAGTTATGTTGCTTTTGATATATTATGCAATAATCCAAATTGCACTTACATCTTGTTTTGTCACAATGTAACCAAATCCACATCAATGTATCAAAATAGATGCTTCTTAGAAATGCAGTCATACTAAACCACAATGAATTATACTAAGATCACAACTTTATTGTTAGTTATATACTCAAAGCTTACCTTGGTCACCTTCCCCTCCATCTTCACCATCTACTTCATCCTCATTCTCGTCCTCAGTGTCTCCTACGTAATCAATCCCATATCTCTCATTCAAATAATCCACAGCAGAAGGCGTTAGCACCAACTTATCCGCATTCAATACATCATACAAATTAAGCGTTCTAGGCGTCAACATCTTCAGAGTCCCAATATTCCTACTCGAAAGCCTTAAATTATCCGAAACCTCAGTCAGCAAGAACATAGCCTTCTCCTTTGGGTCAAGCCCCCACCTCTTCATTGCGGCAATGAATTCCTTCGTCTTAGGCTTCTCAAACTTATCCCCAAATTCTTCCACAACGATCGTGTTCACCACCGCGCTAGATAACGCCGTAGAAATCGCTAATCTCTTCTCCTTCCGATTAATCTTGATGCTCCAGTCCCTAGGCTTAGGCCCAAACACGACCCCTCCCCCGGGTCGGAGCGGGGTCCGATTCGACCCACGACGAGCACGGCCGGTCTTCTTCTGCGGGTAAGGCTTCCTGCCACCACCACTGACCTCGGCGCGTGTGAGGGTTGAGGCAGTGCCTCGGCGCTTGTTCTGGAGGTCAGTTACAACAGCGCGGTGCACGACGGCGCGTGCAGTATCGGGTGGCGCAGTTTTGAGGTCGAGAGCTGTTTCGCCGACCTTTTCGCCATCAAAGGAGAGGACTGGGAGTGTGGCGAGCTGGGAAGTAATGGAAAGGGATTTAGGGGAGGTGGGGATGAAAGAATTGGGTCTGAATGTGAATGAAGAGAATTTGTTGTGAGAGGAAGATGACGAGAGGAAGATAGAGGATGAGAAGAAGGAGAAGGATGGTGTGGTCGCAGAGGAAGCCATATTCGTCGGACAGAGTGGAGAAGAAGAGTTAAAGGACTAGAGCCAGGACTGGAGGAAGGGGATGAGTTCGTCGACTCTATCCGTTTAATTTTTCCTTTCTTTTTTTGTTTTTTTTTTGTTTTTGTTTTTGCTTTTTTTTTTTTTTTTTTGGTTTTCCGCCTCTCTGGTTTGCCAAAAGATGAAACATCAAAGGTTATCCCTGTTGATTCCCCGGCGACGGGATGGATCAAAACACTGTTAAAAAATAGGGAAAATGACAGAACAAGACCCATCAACTTACAAAATTTCAAATCAGAAATTCTCAACAACAAAAAAAAGGCGTTGTAACAGGAATTTTATAATTTCTATGGTATTTATTTGTTATTTTTTCTAAAAAATATGGAAATTCAAAAAACAAATTATATTAGTTTGATTCACTAATAGCAATGTCTCAAAAGATCCACATTATTTATACATTTATTTTCTGCTATAAATTTATGTTTCTCTTTTGGTAAATGGATAATTTTATTCTAACACAGTATAACTAAAAATATACATGCAAATATTAGAATTTTATAAGATCATGTAACCAACATAAAAGCATACTATAAGCTCCAATACAAAAGGAACAGTATAAATAACTCAACCCAATTTAAAAAATCAAAAGACATGGAAATAAAACTAAACCAAATTAAAGCCTGAAGTGCAAACACAAAATAACGTCTAGTCCTTAATATAAGACCTTGTTTGATTTTTATTTGGATCTAAATATAAGACCCAATCTATTTTGTCTCTTATATTTATGCATTTTTTTCTAAGTTAGTCCTTCTAAGAATGGTAGCTCTAACCAATACACGTGATTAGCAAGGATATTTTAAAAAAGATAACACATATTTATTACAAATAACTAACTTAACTTATTTTCTTAATTTTTTTAAATTAGTCAATTAATTCTTATATAAGAACCGGAGGTAGTATATCATAACAAAAAAGGGGTCATAATCTATACCACAGAACTTGAATTTAGTTAGATTATCGTTTCATCAAAAGTATAATACATTTTCATGCAAAAGTGAATATTCAATTATCTGACTTTTTACAAGATTTTGGTTTTTTTCCAACTTTATAAAATTTTTATACAATTTTGCTACCCCGAAAAAATTAAATTTAATACATCATTATTTAAGAACGTTTTGTTAACATTTAAAATTTTAATGGGAGAATTTTTTTTGTAAATAAAATTAATGACTAAAAAAATACTCTTTAAAATTAAGAGATCAAAATAAAATTATGCGTAAAATTTAAAAGACTAAATATGTATTTTTGCTTATATTTTTATTATATGTTCTTCATATAATAAATCTGCGATATTCAAATTATACAAAATTATTATTTATCTGAAAATAATTAAAATTATTTCGCAAAAAATAATTACAATTATAATTATAAATCACATTACTAAAATACCTCAAGTGATAATTACAATGGAATGGATAATTTGAAAAAAAAAAAGTTTATAAATTTGAGAAGGCAAATTGAATTGAAATTAGGTGAGGAGGCAAGAAAAAATTGGAACCGTTATAATTATAAGCCCATGCGAATAAATTAGTTGGTCTTATCGCCTGGCTCTTAGAAAAAGCATTTATCATATTTTAACTTGACAACTCAATAAAGTTATTTAGGCGCACAAGACTCTACAAGTCTCCTTTTATAACAAGCATAAGAGCATCAGACGAAGAGGTTCTCTCCAGGTTCTGCCCTCCTCCTCTGGTGCGATTCTGCTAACATTTGGAGATCCTATTCACTTAACCGACATGAATCCTGAGTAGTACGTCTATCTATCCATTTATGTTTTTGATCTTCAATTTCCTATCGTTATCCATGCTTCTGGGGACCCAAAGAATCTTTTTTTAACTTTCGGGGAGATTTATTTTTGTTTCCGATTGTATTTGTTCTTTTCGTGGAGGGTAAGTGCGGTTGTAGTTTGTTGGGGTTGCTGGGTTTGCTGTTATGATCGAGGATTTTTGTGCGTAACCCTAGATTGATCAGCTTTCTCAAATCAGATACGATTAATTGGGTTGCAATTCTGCTAATAGACAATCGTGGGTTCTATCGGAATTCCGTTCGCTGATTTTAATAACGATTTCAAATCGTAAGATTTATTTCAATTTTGCCCTCCTTTTATTTTGGAAGAAAATTTATCATTTTTGTTGGTAATTTTCTTGCCTTGATGAGAATTTTGATTAGTTTGAAGATAAAATTGATGTGTTATCCTCACGCTGAATTGCTTGATCGTTTTTTGAAATGAGACCCGATTGACTGGATTGAATTCTGTTATTGTTCGATCTTGGGAATCAATAAATAGCTGCACCGACATATTCTTGTAATGTCTAATTGCAATCTCTGGGTTCTCAACTTCGGCAAAGTTGTCACTTTATTTGAACGAACCCCTAAGATGTATTTGCTATATGGTTGACTTTACTGCGGACAAGTTTTCCTAAATCTGAAAATTAGGGGAAACTTCCGTAATTGCCTACCCATCTTTAGATTACAAATGTTGTTAACTGTAACGGTTTCTCGTGTGATGCGAATTTATGTTGAGGTCTTGAGGCCCTATGCGCAATTTCGCCTTGCTATTCATTGATCTCCTTATACCCGTTTGCCAATGAACACGTAATGCCCCACTAGGTAATGACTTGAGGAAAATATGAATGGGTAAGCTTTGCGGATGATTTGCATCAGTCATGCAAATACTCCAGTATCTAAGCATTGCTATACTGTTAAACAATCATCCGCATGTTTTTGATATTTGAGTTACTTTTATGAGAGATTTCTTGTATAATTTTTTTTTTTAAAAAAAATAATCAATCACTATGAATAAGTGAGTATTGACATTTCATGTTTACTCTTCAGCTTGAATTTGGGTAGTTAATTACATCTATTTTAATTAAGAAAGTTAATGAACATCTGGTTTCATTGCAGTGATTATTTGTTCAAGCTCCTTCTTATTGGAGACTCTGGTGTTGGCAAGTCATGTCTTCTTCTGAGATTTGCTGTAAGCTATTTATTATTTCTAATTTATGTGATGCTAAGTAGTACTCCCTCCGTTCCTTATTATAAGAGACAAATAACCGAAGTACGTTAATCAAAAAAATAGTTAAAATTAGTTAAGAACAATTAATGTGTAAAAAGTATAATTTTTTTCCAAAAATGCCCTCATTAATAAGGAGAGAGAGCATGAGAGAGAACAATTAAATTATTAAAAGAAAGAGAAGTGGGAGGGAGAGAGAGTGTGAGTTGGAGATAATAAATATGGGTAAAATAGTAAATCAACACAAAAAAGTAGAGACAACTTGTAAGTGTCTCTTATATATAGGAACATGCCATAAGCATCAAATGTCTCTTATAATAAGGAACGGAGGGAGTATCTTTTACCACTACGTGGTTCTGTGACAGTATTTTTTTTCTTTTCGCCCCACTCCTTTACTGGCTTACCTTGCTTTTCTTCTCTTCTACAAAAATGTGTTTTTTCATGTCTCGAAACTTCCTTTTAAGTGTATCAGGATGATATTTTGTAGCAGCAACACTTTACCCATAAACATTACATGCTTTGTTCTTTGTTTTATTTGTGTTACAATTTTGTTAACCTAAGAAATTAAAGAATGAATTTGTGAACGGACCTTGAATCTGTCCTTGGACCATATCACCTCTCTTCCTTCATTGTATCTAAATGCATGTCCACCATGGAATGGACACATGAAATTATTTAACTATTTTGTTATGTCCCGATAGTTTTATTTAATTGGGAAAGAAGGAAAGAGGATTTAGTTTCCAAATGATGGACAAGCAACTGCATTGAATCCCCAATCCAGCTTGTCTGCTACTCAGACGGTGGGCCGAAAAAAATCCAGCTTTTCTACCTTGCATTAGCCCCCCCCCCTTTTTTGTAAATCAATTTTGTTGGTTCAGGTTTTCCATTCATTGAACTGAATCAGTTTACATCAGTATATAGTTCGGGTCTCTGATTGAACTAGAGTAGTTGTCTAACTAACATATATGGGCCTGGGCTTAAGCCCATAAAATGTTGGAGCATGTTTGGTTTTTAAAAGGACTTTTGGTTACAAAAGTTTGTTTGCCATAAGTAGAAGTCACTTTTTGGAAGTAAGAAATTTTTACTTCTTCAAATGTACTTTCCAAATGTGCTTTGCTTCAAAAAGTATGATAACCAAACATGTGAAAATGCAAAAAGGACTTTAGACATCTCAAAAGTTCTATACAAGCAAGCACTCGTATGGTATGCTAACAATCAGAGGGTTTAAACTATGTTTCTCTTTGTTTTACTTTTGTCAATCGTATTTCCATTTTCTAGATTAGTCCTTTAACAGTGATAGGTCACCTTGAAAAGCCCGTTTGGAATTTTGAAGTTTCCTCTATGGCAAAGTCATTTATCGTTACAGAACTATTCAATAGGTCAATATTAATAATGCATTGCAATTTGTTAGGCCAAACAAGGGATTTCTAGCTCATGGTTTAGGCTTTAGAAACAGCAATAACCCCATTATATGTTGCCTAGTTGTTTAATATCATTAGGCAGAGGCAGACATGCAGGTTCTTATATGTCAAATGTCTGTAAATTTTGCATTTTTTGAAGCTATCTGTTAGTGGGATATGTCTTATAAGCTTTTCTTTTCTTAATTAAAATTCTTCTATCCGCCCATGTTTGATGTCATGGAAGGTTCATGGACAGTACTGTCACTCTGCATGTTTGGTTGATCATACTGATGGTACATGGGGTCTAAGTGGAGTAATTTGTGCTGTCAAGTTGATAATTTTTTCATTTGACCGCAGGATGATTCATATATTGACAGTTACATAAGCACCATTGGAGTAGATTTTGTGAGTACAACTTCTAGCTTTAGCTTGAATTGATTTGGAATGTTTCCATAAGAGCTGACGTTATTTCCTTTTCATGTAGAAAATACGAACTGTTGAGCAGGATGGGAAGACCATTAAACTTCAGATTGTATGTATCTCATTGGCTTATATGATGTTATTTATTTTCAAGAGGCTGCAGCTATACGTTTTAACATCTACGCAATTATTTTCACATGCAAATGAGATGTTTCCTCATCAGATTGTTTATTGCCTGGTTTCAATCTGCTTTGTATGTAGTGGGACACTGCAGGGCAAGAACGATTTCGCACAATCACCAGTAGCTACTACCGTGGGGCACATGGGATCATTGTGAGTGATGTTTTTCTTGACTTAAATTTTCAGGAGTACAAGATTTTTCTCCTCTATGGATTCTCCTTTATGTATCAGCTGACTGGTTTCTATCTGGCACAGATTGTTTATGATGTGACAGACCAAGAGAGCTTCAATAATGTGAAGCAGTGGCTCAGTGAAATTGACCGCTATGCTAGTGATAACGTTAACAAACTCTTGGTTGGAAACAAGTGTGATCTTAAAGATAATAGAGCTGTCTCATATGAAGCCGCTAAAGTATAGTATTGGCATACATCTATTAATTATTTGCTCTATTTCAGCCAAAGAATTAATTTCAACTATGTTGATTTATACAGCTGTTGGAAGTTATTGCTATCTCATTCTTGCTTCAGTTCACCCTCATGTTACCTTTTTATTTTGCTATTCTTTTGTAGGCATTTGCTGATGAAATTGGCATACCTTTTCTGGAAACAAGTGCAAAAGATGCTACCAATGTGGAACAGGCATTCATGGCCATGGCTGCTGCAATCAAGGATAGGTACTAATTCCTTTTTTTTAATGTTTTTTTTAAGTCATAGAAAAGAAAATGAAATTTTGATTGAAGAACACACTCGATCACATGAAATTCAATTTGCTTATTGTTGTGGGTAAAAACAGCAATGAGTGTATGTGTGCGCCCGCATGGAAAAAATGAGGGAAGAGTATTTTAGGTGCAGATTGTAATGGTTGGTATGAAGATATTGATGGTGAATAGAACAGCAATCCTTTTCTAAACATCAGGGTTTATGCTTTACCCTTTGGTTATTAGATCTTTGGAAGATGGGGTGCAACAGTTCATGAAAAAATGGATTGAGATCCAACCTAATGGGAATGTTATGGAACATGCCATTATCTTCTCATTTTGGGACTTTCTCCTCAATCCAAACATATCCAATGTGGATTTGTTCCTTCAATTTTTTATATACAATTACCAATATTTTCCAAGGGAGCTAATTGATGGTAACTTAATCTTTCTGTGCAGAATGGCCAGCCAACCAGCCAGTAACAATGCAAGGCCTCCGACAGTGCAGATCAGAGGACAGCCCGTTGCCCAGAAGAGTGGGTGCTGTTCTTAGCCTCAAATGCTATTATTTAGTCCCATTTCATTTGGTCTGCTCCTCTTACTCTCTGATGCATGTAATGTAAGATTTGTTTGTTATTTCACTAAATAGTGGATCAATGTCATAGAATTCCTCATGGTTTGGGAACCGACCTAGATGATCCCATTCTTTAGTAAATACTTTCTGATGTTATGGTTTGTGCAAAATATATTACTCAGGGATGATAATATACTGTGATGATAAAGTATTCTCGTCCTTTGAATTGCTAGTTAAGACCATAAACGCTTTATCTTTTATCATGTTGGACTGGTTCAAAATATGTTGATCTCTCAGTCTCACAGGGAATCCCTCGTTTTTAGAGAACAGTAAACCAAAGTCCTTGTATTTTATCAACCCTGTCATTTTGTCAATGTCTTATGGTGTAGTGGCATGAAGGTTGGGAGGTTCTGAGTTCGATAATTTTAGGCTATAGTGTCTGCTCCTCTAAATCCACCCCCCCCCCCCAAAAAAAAAAAAAAAGAGGGAATTTTTGATCAAATAAAAAAAATTAGTAAGCTGAAGCGACAAACTCGTTCTGCTGTTTCCACTGTCTTCTCATCTGCTCAAAGGTAGGGATCTTGTCAATTTTCTGGAGGATGTATTAGTTATGACCCCTGATACCTGGTGCAATTGGCTGTCAAATAGTTAAGACATAACCTCAGGTCAGTCATCTTGCAATGGTTAATCAGGAATTATCCGTAAAGAACCTCATGTTGATATAAAAATGGTTTTTTTGTTGGCCTGAAATATGAAAATGGTGTTGCATACTTGCCAAAAAAAAATGGCAGTGAATATATGGGTTGAATCATGTTTTTATATAGATAATATTATTATTGCCGATGGACCGTATCTCATTTCATAATCATTGGACCCGCGCCATTTTCCCATTTTATGCCTTCAACTTCCCCCATTTAATCGCCAATAAGGGCATTGTGATTGTGAAGCAAGCATATATTCTTCCCTCGTTCTCTCCCCCCATCAAAATTCTCCTTTGCGGCCTTCCTCATCCAGACAAAGCATAAGAGAATAACGTATGTTTGGTAGGAAGCTTTTGTAAGGAAAAGGCGAAGGGCAAGTTATAAGCAAACCAACAGCGAGAAAAATAGAGGGTTTTATCTAATATAATGCAAAAACACTTATTTCAAGTTCATCCAAATAGCTGTATCATGTTTCATATGAATAAGAGAGATAAAGAAATGATCAATAATGAGTGAGTTGAGTGAAGGGAATTCATTTTTTCCCCCTCAAACAGAGATCAATACTTCAAACCTTGTGGATAAAAACATTATTTTCAAAGAGACATTACCCGTTAAGTTGGACAATGCCTAAATTTTGATAAATATTGCTTCCCAATTACATGTGTCAACCGAAAAGAAAGGATAAATAATTAATGCAACACATTTGGTGTGAATAATACCCGGAGGATAGCAAAAATAAAAAGGCTTAACTGTTCCCAATTAAAAGTTCTCTAACTTCTATCAATTTTTATAACATACGTTTTAGAAGATTTCAGTGTTTCGTTTTAGTAGTCTTTTTTTTTTTTTAACAAGAAATTAATGTCATTTTTCAAAATTCATGTCATTTAAAACGCATAGTGGAGTAAGTGTATAGCGTAGTATTTATTGAGGGGCATATTTTTTGAAATATTGGGATGGTTTTAAAGACATTAACCGCTAAGAACTAATACCTCCGATCCTTAATATAAGATCTTATTTGACTTTTATTTTGGTTCTAATTATAGGACCCCAATCTATTTTGTCTCTCATATTTATGTATTTTTTTCTTAAGGTGGTCCTTCTAATAATGGTAGTTCTAGCCAATCAACTTAGTAAGTAAGGAGATTTTAGGAAACACCGTATATATTTATTACAAATAACTAACTTAACTTATTTTCTTAATCTCCTTAAATTAGTCAATTAGCTCTTATAATTAGGACCGGAGGTAGTATTTCTCCTTGCTTTCATTAGATGATTAAAAATGACTTAAAATAACAAAAGAAGCATGTTAACTTGTTACTCTCCATATTCCTTATTACACGCACCAAAGTATTTATTAATACTAGCTCTGGTCCTTAATATAAGACCTCATTTAACTTTAATTTTAATCTTAAATATAAGACCCCAATCCACTTTGTCTCTAATATTTATGTATTTTTTTCCAACAGTCTTTTTAACAATAGTAGTTCTAGTCAATACACTTGATTAGTAAGAATATTTTAGGAAAGACAACACTTATTTATTGCAAATAACTAACTTAACTTCTTTTCTTAATCTCTTCAAATTAGTCAACTAGCTCTTATAATTAGGACATAAGGTAGTATTATCATTTTAGAGACGTTATTTTCTTTGAAGGATTAAGATGTAAATTTGCATCAAAATTTTTCACTTAGAAATGCCACGTACCTGGAAGCTTTTTTTTTTTTTTTGTGCAAATTTATCTTGAACAATCTTATCCCTACCGTTAAAAATATTAACAATCAATATTAAATATCAATGTTAATTTTTTAATGGTAAAAACAAAATTGATATAATTTTAAATTTTCAAAACAAATTTACACCGGCAAACTTTGGGAGTCCTAAATAAAAACTTTCAAGGCAAATCTACACTCTTTAAATACATGATTGTACAGGATCACGGTTTTGTTTTGATTTTGAGAAGGTTGGATTAACTGATTAAGTCAACAGGAACAGTAGACATTAGAGACATCATAAAATTTAGAAAAAAATTAATGTTTTGATTCTCCTAATTTTAACTCACTCCCGAGTTATTCAAATTAAAATTTCAAGAACTAAATTACACTAAGTCATAATTAAAAAAATTAAGTAAAAATTGAATTCATTAAATTTTATGAAAACCTTTTTGTCAAAAATTAATTATTAATTATTCCTACGAAGACCCATCCTTTCTTGTTACCAAAATCCTTTCCGCCCTTTTCAAAGCAAGGATATACGAGACAGATCAACATCCTTGTCGGCTATTTCGCGAGCATTGAATCTATACTTGACCGCAACACAAATCTTTATTCCTATGAGCTAGCTTCTTCGTTTTCTTCTTTTCCTTCATCCTCAACATTTCAAACTGTCATGTTCTAACCTCTGACACCCACATGTTAACTCGGAACTTTCGTATGCCATCATAGATTGGCATGGGGTCCATTTGGCACCCAAAACATTTCAAAACAGGAGAGAGAGAATGAGAAAAGGAAGGCTGAGGCCCTAAACTTTATTCCAAACAAAGCCATCTCACTATGTCCAGAACGCAATAAATATTCCTTCCCTCACTTTTCCCATTTCAAGCAACTCCTACATGAACCAATCACACGCCCACGAGGCCTTAATGGTAGTCATTTTCAAAGAAAATGCTTTAGTCAGAAAAATGGGGCGATGAGAGACAGTAACGGTAATTTATGTTGTAATTGAATATTCAGCCATCAAACCAATGACATGGCAATTATAATACCAAAGGTCAATGCATCACCCCGTGTGAATATGCCAAATTCTTTGAACCAGAGAAGCTTCAGTAGTTCGTCACAACTTAAATGCCATGAAACTTCCCTGACTCAGGCGTAGCACTCAAGTCGAGGCATATCCACCCGGAACTACCTGGCGAATATTATACCTAATATGGGGAACCAGATTTTGAAACCAAAACTGAGTAATCAATCTTATAAATAAAAGCAGACTCAGCAACATTTATGTTTTATCCGCCATGACATACCCCCAAAATTTCAACAGAGAGAAGCAAAACACAGCAACTGGGGGGAAAGGCTACAAGTGAACAACGGACCGTATGATGAACCTAAATTTACATTCTAAGATAAAATTAAATGATCCTTCTGACGCATGAAATCCAATTACCATGGTAATTTCTGACTCAGTTCAAAGCAGATGACTCAAAATCGAATAAAGGACAGGGAAATGCCAGCAAGGTTCTAGATAACCTCACTTGCCACCCAATGTTGGAAACTGCCCAGGATCTTCAATTGATGGAGCTGCCGCACTGCCTGCAGCATTACCACCATAACCTCTTGATCCACGAGCACGACCCCTGCCACGTCCACCTGAGTAGTACCTTTCCCCTTCAGCAGGCTTCAGAAACTCGTTAATGCTGACAGCCTAAAGACATGAAATGAAACAAAAAATGAGGACAAAAACACAAGAGATTGACAGGTTACAAAGCTATGAGAAAAGAGAAGGATGACAATTCAAATTTAAGTATCTTTAAAAATAGGTAATTAGACCAAATTTGATCTCACAAGCTCATTTTAAGCATAAAATTAAGTAAATTTATACATAAAATTGTATGGGATAGCTTGAGGTAAAGTTATAGGAGAGATAGCATCTGCTTTCCATACAATTCTCACACATTCAATAGCGCACTCAAACAGCAGCAGAATTTATTCCCCTCATATCACATAAACCCTCTTCAAATGCATTCTCAGCGTAGAAAACCAAACAAACAAACCAGAAAACAGTGAAAACAAAATGTTGAGAGAATACGATACCAACAAATCATAACATGCATCAACCGAAAGATTAGATCCAAATGGACAATACATAGAAATATTTGGTTAGAATAACTGGCATGAGTGCATATTCAGTTAGTCACAGAAAAAGGAGAACTAGTTCCACACCAATCACCTAATCGTAGATATCAACAGGCATGCATAAAGAGAGAACAGAATATTAAGAGCTTAGAATTTAGTGAACGATGGTTGCAAACATAACACTGGAGCTTTCTTTGACGGTTGGCAAAAGCCAATATTTTTTATGGGGTATTTTTAGGCAACTACACCTGTTGCGTTTCAATCATTTTGTCAACTATGTATCACTAAACTTTTCATAGAAACTTTTGATAAATTCAAATAAATAACAGCTGTCAAAAAATCAGGCCAAAAAACAAAAAAAAAGACTTTCAAAGCTCGGATCTGAGGAAAGTGAGTGCAATAGCACCTAAAGTTGAGCCAAAAGCCCATATGGGTTCTTAACTTGGACTCAAAGATATTAATCATTAATATTAATGACTTTAATAAAATATTGGCCAGGAAATTTCATAGTCGAGCACAAAACCAAAAATATAAAGGAAATAAGAAGCATGTTCAAAAACAATAAAATCATAGGAAAATGAAATCATGTCGCACCTTCTTGGATTTCTCTTCCCTCTCAAGAGCCTCCTTGCGCTTGTCCTTATCAGATCCCTGATAAGCAGGTAAGTGTCAAAATCATGGATAACCAATCCACTATAACCAGAACAAGAGGTAAAATTCCGACCAGTTTAATGAAGATGTCATCATTGTCTTTCTTGCTTGACAGTTGCTGCATGGACTCAAACTCCTTAACATCTACTTTTCTCTCCTCAGTCCTGAGTGCCTGCAAGGCCTTACGTTTCTCTTCCAACACTTTCTCGTATTCTTCCAGAGTCATCTCCTGACCCAGGAAATTCACTTTTAAAGCACAATAATTTAAGAGAAGAAAAGCACAAGCATCGAATTACAATTGCAATTATATATAATAGAAAACACAAATGTGAAGGACATCAGGCTATATGCATGCACCCTAACAGTCTGGAAAAAATGATCGAGATAAAATCATCACATATCAATCGAAAAAATGAAATGAACTGGAGCTCGCTTATAAGTAAATGAGAAAAGATATCAATGTGCGTAGTTAAGTCCCAAGTGCAGTTTTGAAAATAAACAGAGAAAGTTCGACAAATAAATAAAAAGCAACCCATACAATTCAGTAAAGATACATTTAGCAGATTAACCCAGCTGAAATGTATTCGTTTATCATCAATAGCTTCCAGATCACTTTACAGGTTTGGTCACATGCAATTTAATAATTTTTTTTTAATAAACACGTGACAACACAGATATCTTCTGCTTGTCTATCAAACATGAGAAAGTAAAAAAAAATTATAGATGAAGATGAAGCAGATACAGGTTAAATATTAAAGACTTTAAATAAATGAAGAAATTCACTTTATCCTCAGGCTCTTTCTCTTCAGCTTCATTAGTAGGATTATCTTTGTTGGCATCTGCTGCTTCTTCCTCAACTGCAGGCTTCTCATCACCCAAATTCTTGTCAGCTTCAGTCACAACTTCCTCAGTCACCCTAACCAAACCAAAATAAAAATAAATAAATAAACATTATTACTTCAGAATCATAAAATATTCCGAATAAATATGTATCAATAATTCAATAAAAAGCATGAAAGAGGATATCAAGAGAACACTTACTGGGCAAGTTCATCAGTTGATGTTCCCCAGTTACCTCGTCCAGAACCATCACGTTTGATCTCATTTCTGCAAATAGAACATATAAGCTCAATATTGGCAAAAAAAATGATGCTAATTTATCAATATCTTGTAGTCACACACACCCGCGTCCAGTCCCACTGCGGCGTTCAAACGCTCTTCGTGGGCGTACATCTTCACCCACTTCTCCATTGCTCAAGCCACCTCGGCGACCACCACGATAAGGACCACGAGGTCCGCGCCTTTCTGCAGGCTTACCAGTATCTCCTTCTTCAAGAGCTCCCTGACCAGCAGGAGCTCCAGTGCCAGAGAATGAATTATCATCATTTGAAAAGTCACGGTTAAAGCCACGACCATATCCACGCCCACCTCCTCGTCCACCTCCACGGCCTCCCCGATAAGTGTCATTTCTTGCTTCCCTCACTATTAGATGAAAAGTAACATCAATATTGGAAAGAGAATCATTAATCTAGCACAACCAATACAAAGAGCATTCAGGAGTAAGGGTCACAGAGAACAAAACAGTATAAACATACAATTGACAGATTGGTAATAAAATGTTCAAATGATCATACCGATTGACAAGATCACAGGAAAGATCGTCAATTTAAAGGGTTCTGAATACAAGTTGAAGTAAATTTGGGATCTGCAACATCCAGCCATATACACTACATCACAAACTACCTAGGAAAGGTCAAGGCATTCTACAAGGCATATACAGCCTTATTGGAAAACTGAATGGGAGTTAAGGACTACTGCTCTTGCGAAATATTGCATCTATACGATATTATGAATGACACCTTCCAGCAAGGTAATTTAACTTTACTTAAAGTGACTATTTCAAAATATCACACATCACAGAAACCAACAAAAAAGATTAAAAAAATTGGGCATTCGCATATATGTAATAAACACAGGAGACCAAAAAAGTACCCAAACACATAACTTTCAAATCACTTTTGCTTCTAAATTCAAGAGAAACAAAAGAAGACATCTAAGACATGCTTCAACTACATACATATGTTTACGTACATGCAACACGGATTTCACTCACCATCTACACTGGATATAAGCCAGACGTAAAGGAGAAAAGAAAACCATAAACAAGTAACAAAGATAGCAAACCACCAAATCAGAAGTCACATGCTCAACATATTAAGGAACCTACCAACGCCTCATAATACAGCAACACTTAGTTACATTCACTATCAAACAGAAAGCATATACCTGTCAAATAATCAACACGTGGGTACTTCTCCTATGCATCAGAACACATTCACTCAATAAAAAGAGGGAATCAGAAGCTTACCGGCCTGAGATGGAGGAGGTGGCTTAGTAGGCATCTGAGCCACCTTGCTCTGTTGCTGTGACTGAGAACGAGCTCCCTGCTTACCCTGGTCATGAGCCCCGGCTTTCTTCGGCGCAGCCGCCACAACCTTCTCCTGTTCCGCCGCGATAAGCTGCGACGGGTCCTCGGCATCATCACCCAACAAATCGAAAGGGTTCATGGTCGCCATTTCAGAAAGCCCCGATGCAAAACCTCCACACAACTCAACAGAGACTTATACCAACGAGAAGGCGACCACTGGACCCTATATCAACATCAACCCCATCGCAAGCAATACACAGGGAGAGACAAAGATTCACGGGTAGAAAAGAGCGAGAGAAGAACAGAATCAAGAGGGTATATGAGAGAGAAAAACCCTAGCCGCAATAGAGCGCTGTGCAGGTAGAGAGAACAAGAGAGTAAGCAGCAAAATGAGCGCAACCTAATCTCAAACTCGGAATTTATCCTTGAAGCGATTAACTGTTGCGTTTAGGAGCGCTCGTGCAATACCGAAAAACTAAAATAAACATGTTTTTGGGAGGAAAACAAAAAACCCTGTCATGGGCCTCCGGAAACATTTTATTTGATCCAGTGTCTCTGCCCATTATTCAACCCAATTTGGTAAAAAAAAAAATTTTAAAAAAAGGAAAATTGGAGTGTTTTCCCCCGGGGGGAGAAAATAACAAAGTTGGGGTAAACTTTTATTTCTTATTTCCTAGGCACATTGGAACCTTTTGTTTATAATAAAGTTATTTCATAGAAAGGAGTGAAAAAAATTGGAAAGAATTAAAAGTGCGAGTAACCCCTTAATTTTATTTTATATGATATAGAAAAAATGGTGGATAGAAATTTGTTCTTTGTATGAAAAAAAATGTAAATCTTAAAATCCCCCAATTTATTTTACTTTTTGGAAAAATTTCAAATAAGTCTTAAATAATTAATTATTTTTAAGCTCCAAGAATGCCTGCTTACAAAGGGGTGGGCTGAATAGCTCGCCTCCAATTTTTGTAATTTTTTTAAAAATTTTTAATTTTGTCAACTTTTTGTGCCCATCAAAATCTTTGTTTCCCCCTCTCTTTCTTAATTAATTATAGGTTTGTAGTATCTTATTGTATTAGCAACATATTAATATCATATTTAAAGCACTTTTTTTAACTAGAGCTAAATATAAACAATTAATTAAGCATTCCTAACATTAACAATATATAATTTGGTAGAAAACTAACAAATTATAAAAATATTATAAACATTCAAATAAAAGTATAAAATATTTAGTTTGTAACATAACATCATAAGTATAGAAATTTAAAAAAGAAAATCATGAGGGTTAGCCACAAGTACAAACTTGACTACCACATTTATATGTAATTTGGATTGGACTTGTCAGCAATTGATTTTTTTTTAAACCTATCTATAATGCTTCTTCTTTTTTCTTTCACTATTTTTTTTTTGTTTTTCTTATCTTTAATTTTCTTCTCATTATTACCCCCTAGTTTACTTCTCAGCACTTTAAGTGCCCAGTTGTCCGTAAGTAGTGATTAATTTTTTAGTTCTTATTGTTCAAAAGCTAGTGGAGGCACGAAAAGTCCCACGCTTAGTAAATGGACACACGTAGTCAACAATTCAAGGAATATCTAGTTAAAAATAAGGCAAAAATGATCCTTGAGCATGAAAAAGATTTAAAAAAAAAAACCCTTGTTAGGAGATCCTAGTAGTAGGGCTCCATTGCACCAAAAGAAAAACCAGTCAAAGGCTTAAGGGGTATTCAGATGAAATCAAAACTATAGTTTTAAAAATACTTTAAAAGTATACGAAATAAATAAGTAGAAGAAATTATCTTGATTTATGAAAATTTGTTTTTAAAAAATACCTTTCATACTATCCAAACACCCCGCTGTATTGGTTAGGGCAAATTAATTAAGTTCCTAGTAAGAGGATTTTGATAACAATGATCAGAAAAACAAATCTCCAATTTTTTTTTGGTCGAAATTATAGTGGATTCGATGAAAATAACATTTTCTTGGGTTCTTTAAAAGGAGCAGAATCATAATCCAATCATGGATACTAAAATCTTAAAACTGGGTGATGCCTCATAGTTTAAAGCTTGGAGTAATGCAGTGTATCTTAGTTTTTTGTTCATTAAAAATAGTACTCCTTCGGTCCTAAATATATGACCCTTGTATACACTATATAAAGGTCTTATATTTAGAACCGAATGAGTAATTAATTTTTCCCACCATTAACACTCAACATAACACTACCTATTGTCCTTAATATGAAAGTTAGTTAACTGATTTGATTAGATTGAGGAAACTAGTTAAATTAGCTATTTCTAATAAATAAGTATTATCTTTCTTAAAATATTCTTACTAATCAAGTGTATTGGTTAGACTAGCATTATTACAAAGACTATCTTTTTTATAAAAAAAAAAAAACAGAGAAATGTGAGAAACAAAGTAGATTAGAGTTTTGTATTTAAAACCAAAATAAAAATTAAACAAGCTCTTATATTAAAAACAGGAGGTAGTATCTCATTTTAAGGTCAACACTTAAATAGGTACTTATGAATTTTGACTGATAAATGTAAATTTTGATGCATCTTTCCTACGTCCTATCACCCAAAAAAATGCTTTACAATAATTTTGGTAAACAAAAGGTTAAAGGGACCTATTGATTAGGGCGCAACTGTGAGAATGTGTAAAAAAGATGCATTAAAAATTGCATTAGACATTCACAGCGTCTTATATAATGTATAACTTAGTTCACTTGCTCTGGTTTTGCATATTTTTCTTACATTTTTTCAGATGCGATTTAAACACAATATCCTTTTATTTTAAAAGAAGTAAAATGTAAATAAAATACACGTTTTAATATAATTTTTAAGTTTCCATTTTAAAAATATGATTTAAGTAAACATAAAAATAGTAAAAATATATGTATGAAAATAGTGAAATATAATATAAACTATATATTCAAATTAAATCCTAACAAATAATGAAGAATGTGAGGCTAGATATCCCTCTAAAAAATGCAAAGGGTCCGCACACCATAATGTATAAAAAGAAACAAAAATACATATAAAATCCACCCAAAAGCAAAAGTGAAAATTCTCAAATCACTTGTCGGAAAGCAAGAATCAAATCCGACCTTTGTGGTTGATCAATCTATTTATAAAAAAAAAAGGTGTTGAATAAGCAAATACAGATTCGGACCCAAAAGAATGCGGCGCGGGCTGTCTCCAGTCTCCACTAAGCTAATGATCCATCTCCCTCCACTTCGCTCAACGAAGTCGTTGAGAGACAGGAGGCACGCAGTGAGGCCTAGCAGGGGAGCCTAGGACGACGCTAAAGGCCTGTTTGGTTTGAGGAGAGGGAGGGGTAGGGAAGAGTAGGGGAGGTTTCATCCTCATCTTATTTGATTTGATTAAAAAAGAGGGGAGGGGAGGGTATTTAATGATTCCTTATTTGGTTCAAGGAGGGGAGGGGAGAGATAGTAATAATCAATTTACCATTTTACCCTTGCATATTAGTTTATGTTTTTTATTGATATATTATATAAATTAATTTACATCTTAATTTAAATCATATAATTTAATAAAAATTTAGTCTTATTATGTTAATATGTTTATTAAAAAATTGGTACAGTAATTTTTTATTCTAATTAATATAATAATATATTTAAAATAATCAAATTAACAAATTTTATATGCTCTAAGAAAAATGAAATTTTATTTTCTTTAGGCTATCTTTTTTTCCAGCTTTAAAATATATTTAATAAATAATATATTTATAAAAAACAATTAATTTTATAATATTATAATTTTTTATTTAAATAATTTTTTATTTTTAAATAATTTTTATAATATATTTTTAATTATAATAATGTATATATTTTTTATTTTTTTACTTAGGATAATATATTTTTTATTTGAAATAAATATTATAATAATATATTTTATGGGTAGAAGTGGAATATTAAAAAACTATAAAGGCATAATGGTCCAAAATTTTGGCTCCTCTCTAAAAACCCCCAATTTGAAGGGGAGCCAAAATGGGGGGAGGGAGGGAGGGAGCGAGGGGACATTTTAGCTCCCCTCCCCTCCAAAATTTTTAGGGAAAAAGACAGAAAAATGCACCTTTAACTCCATAATCCCCAAAACGTCCGTCCAATTCCACAAATCTCATTTTGGTACCATGAGACCAAATTGGGATTATTATGTGAAAGGAAAAGACCACATTGCCCTTCATTTTAAATATTATTTTTAAAATATCACAGCCCCTACTGGCCGGCCGGTCACCGGACCTCCGGCGGCGGCGGTCACCGGACCTCCGGCGACCAGCCGACAATTGGTCACCGGAGCTCCGTCGGTCGGATTTTTTTTTTTTTTGAAAATTTTTACAACTTCAATATAACAGTTAACAACTTTTGTAATGCTATTAACAACTTCAGTATAGCAATTAACAACAGCTTTTCTGGGAAATTCAACAAACTCCGGCGATCGGAAACAATTATTTTGAAAATTTTTACAACTTCAATATAACCGTTAACAACTTTTGTAATGCCATTCACAACTTCAATATAGCAATTAACAACAGGTTTTCTGGGAAATTCAATAAACTCCGGCGACCGGAAACAATTTTTTTGAAAATTTTTACAATTTCAATATACGGTTAACAACTTTTGTACTGCTATTAACAACTTCAATATAGCAATTAACAACAACAAACTCAGGCGACCGGAAACAATTTTTTTGAAAATTTTTACAACTTTAATATAACGGTTAACAACTTTTGTAAGCCTATTAACAACTTCAGTATAGCGGTTAACAATAGGTTTTTGAGTTTGTTAAAGGCATTACTGAAGTTATAAAAATGTCACTTTTTGAATTTAAAAACTTATTGTTAACTGCTATATCAAAGTTGTTAACCGTTATATTGGAGTTGTAAAAATTTTCAAAAAAACGTAATTGTTAACGTTATACTGAAGTTAAAAATTTTTACAACTCCAATATAACGGTTAACAACTTTTATAATGCTATTAACAACTTCAATATAGCAATTAACAAAAAGTTTTCTGGGAAATTCAACAAACTCCGGCGACCGGAAATAATTTTTTTGAAAATTTTTACAACTTCAATATAGCGGTTAACAACTTTTGTAAGCCTATTAACAACTTCAGTATAGCGGTTAACAACAGGTTTTTGAGTTTGTTAAAAGTATTACTGAAGTTATAAAAATGTCACTTTTTGAATTTAAAAACTTATTGTTAACTGCTATATCAAAGTTGTTAACCGTTATATTGGAATTGTAAAAATTTTCAAAAAAACATAATTGTTAACATTATACTGAAGTTGAAAATTTTTACAACTTTAATATAACGGTTAACAACTTTTATAATGCTATTAACAACTTCAATATAGCAATT